AAATAGAAGGAAGACTAGGAAGGAAGGATGGAATGAGGAAGGGAAAGAAGGATGGATCAAGGGAGGGAGGGTGCGGAGTGAAGGATGGTAGAAAGGAGGGAAAGATAGATAAGTGTACGAAAGAATGAAATATTAATAAATAAATTGATTGAACATACGGAGAATACGCGTTTAAAACTCAGAACAATCGGTTAATATTTTTTCTTTCACCACTTAGTGTGCAGTACAGCTCTAGGCATGGAAAGTAAGGCAATAACTAATGCACAGATCACTGCTTCATCCCAGTTCGGTGATCCAGGGCATGATCCATGGAAAGCGCGCCTTAATCTCGTCGACTATAGAGGATCATGGGTAGCTGGTGTCTATAAGCAAGGAGAATACGTACAAGTTGATTTTGGTGTTACAAAGGTAAATAACATAATGGACGGTGTCGAATGATGGTGATGATAATGATGATGATAGTGATGATGATAGTGATGATAATGATGATAAAGATGATGATTACTAAACGTTTATAACTCATCTCTGCTCTATGGGCAGTAGCTAAACTATGTAAAGAAAAGGCTAGCTAAACTCAATTGATGTTTTTAGATTTGCTTTAAAATTTGATAAGTCATAAATAAGAATGTCTCTAATTGAAGGGTACAGAGAGTAATTCTAAAGTAGAAACCAGGTGTTGCACGGAGAAAGAACGCATGCTATGATGATGATGGTGATGTTGATTGGACTTGATTGGGTTACTCCGGTCATGTGACATTTTATGATGACAATTAATCAACGAATGACCAGCTTGATGTAACACTTTAGAGGGCCACGAGTTCATCAGTGTTTTTTAATACTGCCAAGTGTTACCCTCTTTAAATAAAGTTCATTGTATTGTATTGTATTGTTATCATATAATAATTATTAGGTAAATTGTTATTAATTAATTATTAATCAAAAATCCATCGCTTGCATAATGGGCATAGTGTTTTGTTTTAGATGATAAGTAAAGTTGCAATACAAGGGCGTGGCAAGTATGAACAGTACGTCACGAAAATTTCATTGAAATATAGCGCTGATGGATCGCAATGGTTTGATTATAAGGACAGCAAATATATCAAGGTATGTTTACGCAGCGCAACACAGACAAATTTATCAAAATAAATCATGATTAATCATTGATTGACAATTAAATGCACAACATAAACCAAAGCTCGCAAGGAATGACGGTTGATAGCATATCTTTAAACGTTTTGTGCTAGACATTCATTGCTTTACG